GTGATATTCACACTTTTTTTTTTTCACCCAGACAAAGCAAAACAAAGAAACATTGTGTCTATAACCATGGCATTAAATTGCGTATACTCTAACTCACTTCAATCACACTGTACCTCTACCATCCTATAATCTTGCCCCAATGCCTTTCACATGTTTACACACGGTGTAAGGCAGCTGTTGCCATGAGATTGCATCATGTTTGGCTGAATCTTTCTTTGCCCATGGACTTCGGGTCCCGTTGGGATGCTGGGGGAGTGGTGGGAGATTATACCATGTTGTATGCTCAGTATCAGTAGTCTCAGGACACCGATGCTTGGTAACTGTCATACAACGAAAACACCTGGCTCTTGGTCCAGAGCTTTTCCTACCAACCTAGAGCCTCTTTTCACATGTGTCCATAGATGAGTGGGCGTGGCATTGCAGGAGACCAGAAGACAAGAGTCCTCCCCAAAGCAGCATATCCTGGCACTCTGACTCCCAAGAAACTGCAGTCAGTAAAAGCCAAAGAATATAGGTGATTATTTGATTGATAGTTTCATTGATAGCTCTTATTCACACAAAGCCTACATCATATATGTTTACCTCAAGATTGTCAGAAAATATTTTGGTATGACTCCAGTTCATCTTTTGTTTTCTGTCCTGTGCTGAAATAAGGAGTGGATACAGAAGCAGTTGGAAATAAACTCTCTCCCTGCAAGTCGATTCCTATGACACTACTTTAAAAATCTGCATAGCAAGCTTCATGCTAATAGCTTTCAGTTATGCTTGCCTAATGGCACCCAAGCTCTCACAAATTCATTAGGAACCCTCTCTGCTTCCTCCTGTTTTTTTTTTTTATTACTATCCTATCTATTTTTTTAAATTAGCAATAGTTTGGAATGAATGTGTGATTTCACAGGTAACTTAAAAGGAACACTCAAGGAAAATTATTTTTTCAGTAAGGTCAAGATTGCTCCCGTCATTATTTATAATAACTTCCTTGTTCCTCTGAATTTTATTTCATTTTCTTAAAATGTATGAAGGAGTTATATTTTGGTATCCTTAGATTAATCATAATTCAGAAATTACATCAAGGGTACTGGTATTTGGGTGCACATTCAATCTAGGCTAGATATTTTGTGTTTATCAAGTACATCTTACAAAGTACCGAAAATAATTATTTTGTTGGATAAGAAGCACTCGGATACTTAAATAATATTGGGTTATGGGAAAAATCATGATGTATGATGTATTTTTTTCTGTATTTCTATGCAAAAAAAATGCATCATGACTTTTCCCACAACCCAATAGACACTGATGGCATAATTCAGTGTTCAGTATCTTCCTGTTGGTTTAATCTTGCAGTTCGAGTCTTTGCTTTGTTTTGAGATTATTTCCTGAACTCATCTATTTATCCCCATTTGTATTAATAACAATCTCAGTGACTCCATCCAGACCAGGACCCACTCCAGCCTATGTATATTACGGAAACAGGCAACCCACTTTAACCTTTGAGCCTCACTCACCCCACACTCTCAGGCTGTGGATATCTGAATGTGTTCTCTGGAGCCTGCAATTTTTAAACCTTTTTCTGTTTTTTAATTCATGGCGATCAAAGTGCATATTCAGTATAGGCTTTGAGGCATAGGAAGTGGACTATCCAAATAAAATAACGTATTGCTCAAAGAAAAGGGTTTGGTTTAATGGATCTCTGCAAATAATGACTACGTTCCTTCTTTTATCTCTTTCCAGCACGAGCCCGACTTCCTTGTGCAATCCAGGTGCAGTCCTGACGTCGCTCTGTCTTCGGGTACTACAGAAAGGCAATCTGTTAACTAAAGCCCGATAACGGAGTACATTTCTTCAATTAACCATTTATTAAATCAACAAGCTAAGTAATGACTGCATTTTTCTTCCTAATATACAGCGGCATTATGCATTTAGCAGTATTATTCCTTGAACAGATGGGGCTTTTCACAGTCTTCTTTTTTTCCTATGAACGTTGGATTTTTTCTTAATTGTATGCTTGTAAGCTGCAACTGCTTTGAAAGGTGTTTCTGAACACACACTGAGATCCCTCATACCAGCAGCCAAGTGACATGAAAACCACAACATCATCAAGAACATGAACAGCCAGCTCCCCACATCCAGCACCCAATTAGCTCGTATTCTTTGGCTGAATATACTCCGCAGCCAATGCAGTCATCCTCAGTGCTTTGATTTCAGAAGCTTTAGAAATACCTGGGAGTTACTTGAATGTGGCAATATTAGAAGTACAAAAGACAAGCAAGAAGCATTTCGCAGTCAGTCAGCAAGCTGGAGAATTTGACAGCGGAGATACTGAAGGTTATATCAAATTCCCTCCACGTTAGCGTTTTGAATAACGAAGCACGTTAACCAGTTTTTTGCCTCAGCACTTCCCTTTATCAATAAAAAGGAGCATTCACAAAGGATCAATATCTAAAGCACATCGAGCAACTACTACACTTTTATGATTTCCTCAATGCAGAGTGTTAACAAAGAAAACCTTGCTACTATACTTTTGAAAGTCACCAGTGGATGCTGGCAACCAAATTGACACTATTTTTTTGTTCTTATAAGAAGTATAATAAGCTCTTGGGTCACCTTCAAAATATGGTTATATTCTTTCCCTGGAGTAGAGTTACTGTGGGATCAAGTGACTGAAAAAGCTAGAAGGGGAAATAAAATGATTGCGCAGCAGGAAAGCGTTGTGCTGCCGTCCTCGTCTGCGTCTCTGCCCATAGCAAGGTCAGAGAAATTCAGTGCGAGCCCAAGGGGTCCTTCCGCAGAGACACTCACGGGCATGATCTGGCACACCCCAGCGTTTGTCTGACAGCTGCATGCACTTCAGCCAGCGCTTCAATAAGTGACCTGCCCAGTTCTGCAGAGGAAGGCTCGCCTACAATTTCCCAGAGTCAGGAGGTCTAGTAAGAATTCCACTGATGTCTTTAAATAGTCTTGGCTCCAACAAGCTAACGTGGGTGAGGATGTTGGAGTGTGCCTGTTTGTGCCTGGCAGGGCTATGCAGGTCCAGTTGCTGCTGGAAGGGGAATTTAGAGGAGACTTCTTTAGCTGCCTCCAAGTGACACTGGTAAGATCTGTTTGCAGTGGTTCAACAGAGCAGCTCATGCACCGAAGTGCTAATGGAATTATGGTATCTGATGCTTATAGCAGGAATTGGCTTCTATCATACATGGGAAAATTGACTTTGGGGTCTTGGGAAAAATCACTTGCTCTTTTGAATAAATTAAATGTACCCCCTTTGAGCAGCTCTTAGGAAAAACTAAGACAGTAGCTCCACACTGAAATCACCTAGGCTCAGAACCAGAGAATGGGCTCTTCAGTACTTCAGTTCTATTCTTTCCAAATGAGCAGAGGCAGGTATTAGGGTTGAAGAGCTGCAGTGACTGAAGGGTTTAACTGACTCCTCTCAACTCTGTCCTTTGCTTACTGCTCTCAGGTTACTGAGATTTTGGAGTGTTGGGTGTTATTCTTGTTCAACTCATTGCTTTTATTGTCCTTTAACAGAGATCACAACTTTCTACACATAGTATTAGAAACCTAGGGGCTCCGTCTCCTTCACCAAACTGTGAGCATCTTGGTGGAAGGAGCAGGGTGTTCCTTCCAGGTTTCCATCCCAATACCTAGACTCAAGAAGGTGCTACTAAACGTAAACTTAATTGAATTAAACTAAGAGCATTTAGAAGAAGTCATCGAGACTTGGCAAAATCCCAAACCCTAGATCTTGATATTATTTACTTTATTTTACAGACAAATGTGCCAAGAAATCAAAGCAATTGGTTTTTCACTGACCTGAAGGTCCTGTGCTTTCTTCACTACCACCCCTTGTTCTAATACCTTAGCTCTAAATAAGTATTAATGTCTTGGGGCCTTTGGCCACTGCCACAACAGCAAGATCTGATGACCCGTGATGCAGGAGCACTGTTATTGTTTGTCCTGGTATCTATGATTAACAGCTGTGTATGCTCAAAATCAAAAGCAAAATGAGCTTAATATTTTTACAGAGCCTTTTGCCCAAAGACTTTTACATTTCACTAAACTCATTTTTTCAAAATGTTTACATGTGAAAGCCAAGTGGCAAATAATATCCTCCTCTGAATTTATAAAGGTGATTACATGTGTGTGCGTAGCCTGTGTCTTACCTCCTTTATCCTGCCTCTCAGTCACTTTTGGCCAAATTATCCCCAGTATTAGCTTATCTCTGAAATGGCAAGTCTGGAAAGGAAGAAGTAAAACTAGAATGGGGTGATTTGACTACTGGTTAGTATGTTTAGAAGCTTAGTGATCTAACTATGGTGGAAGAGGATTAGAAAAGATAGTTGAAACCATACATTAAAGTCAGTTCATATTTATTAGCTTAAAGGCACCATGCAACTCTTGACTCAGTACCAGGCATGCACATAAGCAGCTTGGTTATTCTACAGCCATTTAAAAGAAAACAATTCCTATGAGTGTTTCTCCAACACTTCAGGGAAAGTTCTGCCTGGTTTGGTCACTGACTCACCCTTTGGTCCAAGTAAGGCCTGGGTGCAACTGACAGAGGGATATGTCTTGCTGTTGCCACCTGACCCTGGGTTGCCAACGCAGGATGGAAACCATCTGAAACCAGGTGTTCTCAATTCCGCATACTGTCCTTGGCAGAGGGTACATACATAGTGGATGAACTCTTGAAATACATTGAATTCAGACTTGTTCACTATTCCAAGGGATAATCTCATCAGAAAAATCAGAACAGTTAGTTCTTTCTGGAGAAAACCAAAGGCCTATATCAATTATATTTAGAATGAAATGAACATAATATTCTATAGATTATTAAGAACATACAGAATTCAAAACAAACACTTCCCCAGGACAGATGTTCAACAACAATTTAGCAAATATCAACGAAAACATTGACAGATAATAACGGTGACAGACTGAAGAAGTACCCTGGCCGAGAGTCCAGATGAGCTGTCCTGTCCATACTGCTGGTGCCCACATCAGCTGTGTTTTTTCTCTTTCAGGTAGCTGAAAAGCATCTCCAGGCCTCCCTCCACCAGCTCTGGCAGAGGCTTGGACAAAGGGTTATGGGAAATGTGTAGCCCTTTGTCCATCGGATTCCAAGCAATCCTGGCCAGTCTACACAGCAGGTAGAGTTCGTCTGGGAGGGTCTGGATGTCATTGTTGTTTAAGTTCAATAGCTCCAGGCTTGTCACACGGCAGAGCGACCGCGGGAAAGAACGGATGTTGTTGCTCTCTGCGATGAAGATCTGCAGGCTGGCCAGGCACTGGATACTCTCGGCGATATTTTCCAGGCGATTCGAGCCCACATGCAAAAAATCTAGCTCCTTCAAGGAAAACACACAGATAGGGATATGAGCAAAATAGTTGTTGCTGAGGTTTAGCTTCCTCAGTTTGGAGAGGTCCGCAAAGCTGGGAGGGAGCTGGGACAGGCAATTGTGTGACAGGCTGAGGACTTCCAGATTTCTGCACAGGCTCAGCTCAGTGGGCACCTCAGTCAGGCGGTTCATATTGACAAACAGGACCTTGAGGCCGTGGAGGAGGCTAATTTCTCGAGGCAGACTTTTCAGATGGTTGCCGCACAAGTTCAGGACCACAATCCTCGTCAGTCTCCCCACCTCCGGAGGGAGCACTCGAAGCTGGTTGTGGGACAGATTGAGTTTCTGGACCTCGGACAAGCCCCACAGAAAGTCTGGGATGTCCGTCATTCCTTTAGTGACCAAGCTAAAGCTGACATGGCACATGCCCCGCTTCAGCAGAGACCGTGGGTCTTTTCCAGAGAGTAGGGTGTCATCCCATGGAGAAAACTTCTGTCTCCTCCCGGGGAGCAGCCTCCCCTTGGGATCTCTGTCCTTAGAGTTGGTCCTTGACTGCCTGGCCCCCATACTGGTTCCTTTCCACTCTCCTCTGCCTCCTCCAAGGCTGGGCTTTTGTCCTTCCCCGGCTGCAGAAAGCCAGGCTGTTGCAGCCAGCAGGGTGTGTGAAGGTGCGGACAGAGTCGTGTCCAGGAGGTTCCAGTGTGGAGGTGGAGAAAGTTGACCGGAAAGTCTCGACCAGGCCTTGCAGATGCCGAAGAAGGAACCCTGGGTGGCTGCCGGATCTGTGCTTGTCCCCGGGGGTGAGTTTAGGTGGTTTCTCTCTGATCAGTCGGGCTGTAATGATATACTTGTCCCTGAGGCTGCTGAACAGAACTGCTCGATTCCCTCTGAATGGCACAAGGCAGCTGTCACTGTCATTCTGCCTGAGTTTTATTGACCTGGTATGTGCAAACAGGTCACAGGGAGGCTGCATATAACTTTACCCTCTCAGCTTCTCTTGGGTATCACAGTGGAGCAGAGTGATCAGCAAGCCCATCTCTAAAAAGAAGCAAAGGGGACGAATAAAGCAGAGCACATTAGCCCTAGCCTGCAGGTCGTGGGGACTCATCTTAACAACTGTAGAGTGAAACCAGGCTAAACACCAGTGACAGAATCATGCTTTTAAAGCTAAAGATCTGGGGATATTATCTCTGCCCAAACTATGATGAATTCTAAATTTGTGAAAAAGTAACCAAAGTAGCCTGGTCACATGGACTCCTCCAGTCCAAAGGGTTTTGCACTGTGAATGTCAGAGGTGATGTAGTGAGGAGGGAGTGAAGGGGGATTTGGGCCCCTCATCCCCATTTCAACTCTGGGGTCATTTGTTTTACAGTGGATTTTGGTGTTTGGTAAGGTGTGCTTTAAATGTCCAAATAGCCACTTGAGTGGCCCACCTTAGGAAGGTAACCATGGGACACCACTATCCTACCAGGATAGTATAAGGAGGCCTCCCTAGCTAAACTCCACCCACTTTCTTCCTTTCTTTCTTGAATTAAAATCAGTGACATTATATCCTATACGCAGAGTTAAACTTTGATGTTACAGGCCAAACTACGTCTCCTCAGATTTCATATGAGGGTCTTGAAAAAGTTCATTGAAAATGCCTATTATGAAATAACTATGCATGGATCTAAAATTTTGCACCAAAGTAAACCATACTTGAATTTTTTGATGTCCCTTGTGTGTTGAAGTACTAACTCTCACTTCCCCACAATGTGACTGTGTTTGGAGATAGGGCCATACGTGAAGACTCAGGAAGGGGAGAGCAATCAGCAAGCCAAGAAGAGAGGCCTTAGAAGAAACCAACACCTGGATCTCAGGCTTTCAGCCTCCAAAACTGGGAGAAAGATTTCTGTTGCTTGAGCAGCCCAGTCTGGGGCTGCCTTATGGCAGGCCTGGGAAACTGCTACCAAGGGGAAGCAGATGCATCAGCAAAAGCAAAGAATCCTAAAGATAGGCAGTGACTAAGGGGAGACAGGTTGGCAGAGGGATGACCTGTGTCTGAGAAAAGGGCTTGTAGTCCTTTGACTGGAACGTCTGTGGCTTTCCCTGGCAGTAGACCTGTTGGGACACAGCCTGGACATAGCAGTTGTGTGTCCCAGAGTGTGTGCTGCTCTTGACCTCACAGGGCTGTCATCCCCAAGCCAGGAGCTCCAGCTTGACCCTGTTGGGATGCTGCCCAGATGTCTACAAACTCACCTCCAAAAAGTACCTGGGTGGGAGGAGCCACAGGAGGTGAAAAGCAATGGGGAGTCACTGTTCTCTCGACTTGGCACTGGAAAGCCATCTGACCCCTTTCAACTGAGTAAACCCCAGGGACTCTTGGACAAACGTAAAGACTGGATATTCTTTAAATGGGCCACTTGAGTACCCCAGTGACTAATTGGAAAAAAGAAATGTAGTGTGACTGCATTTGTACCCTTAAGTTTTTGGAGTAGTCCATGCTTTACGGACATAAATTTCATGTGACAATACAGTTCTGCTGCTGAAAAACCAAAAGCTGTTAGTTATGCTTCCTGTTTCCTTCCACAAGCATGACAAATGATGCTGGTACCTGAAACGGGGAGAATAGCAGGAGCAGGACAGTGCGAGAAAGAATCGACAGCTCTCTATGTAGTGATTATTCATGTGACAATACAGTTCTGCTGCTGAAAAACCAAAAGCTGTTAGTTATGCTTCCTGTTTCCTTCCACAAGCATGACAAATGATGCTGGTACCTGAAACGGGGAGAATAGCAGGAGCAGGACAGTGCGAGAAAGAATCGACAGCTCTCTTTGTAGTGATTATCTCTTTTCCTCTTAATACATTTTTCCCAATACATACTTTTTGAGTGCTTATCATCAGTCAACATTTATTAAATGTTCACTTTGTGAAACTCATCATAGTAGACACTTTATGTGTAGGATGGGTATTGAAATTCTCTGCATTTTCAGATAAGAAAGTGACAATAGAGAGAGGTCAAGTTATTTATGAAAAAAATCAATTCGTTTGCTCAAGGTCAACTAATAAGTTGGGCTTCACAGCCCAGACTGGAATCCGTAAGAATCTTTTCTTTCATGAGTGTGAGAGAGCATGCTGGAGTGCCTGCAGCGTGGGGAATAGCAGGAGCCAGGGTGATTTGAGAAATAGTCAACAGCTGTAGAGAGACAGTAACTATGGCTGCAGTTTGGCTCCTTGTTTTCAAGGGGTAGTGCTGGAAGAAACACAGGTGAAACTAAAAGTGACTGTAACTGCATACAAAGAAATAGCTACATCATTAAGCATTGACCCTTCTTACTTTATCCCAATACAATGAGGAAAAGCAAAGTTAAAATACCATTCCCGAAAACTTTAAGAGTAATGGATTTAATCCCATCTGAAAGTAGTTCAGATTTTCTCTAGCAAGGTTCTCATGTGTCAAGTGGACGATTAGGTGAACAGCTGGCTTGATTTCTTCTGATGTATTTTGTAATGTGAATACTGAACACTTAGTTAATCATGACTGTCACCTCAGAACATAGTTTACCCAGAAGACATTCCTCATCTCTGAGTCTCAGTGTCCTCATCTACAAAATGGGTTTTGGAGGAGACAGTTGCCCAGAGCCCCTTCCCACTCTGCCAGTTTGATTCTCACCACTCATGAAGCTACTCGAGAGGAAGTGGAAGTCATTCTTAACCTTTTATCAAGTGGAACTTTGCACACTCGAAGACAGCCTTCAGTTTGGTCATCTGGGAAATAAAGAGTAACAGGGAGTGTTGCTGGCTCTTGAGGATTCTCTGTGTAGAACACACATTTGACTTTTGCCGAAAGAGAAATTCAGGGCTCTCTAATTGGATTTCAGTTTGCAGTAAGTCTCAGAACTAAGTGTTGTTCTGGAAATTCCAGGATGTGGTAAGTAATGTAATTGTCTTTAACAACTAGGGAAGCTACAGAATAATCAAAGTGTATTTAGCATGCATACCGTGTTTCTTACATTTCTGCGTATTTCAATTGATTATTGTTTAAGCATAGGAAAATCAACATTGATCATGTCTTTAATTCCAAGTAAAATAAAACCAAAGTGATGAGAGCATAAAATAGTAGATTGTAAAAATATCTGAAGCTATTCCTAAATTCATGCTAATGGAATAACTATTAAAAATAATTCTTTTTCTTCTCACCATAGCTTTTCAGTTATTTCTATACACAATGTGTGTTAATTTGAGAAGACAAAAAGAGATGTGTATGTTTAAAATAGTTTATTAAAATAAGCTTTTTACTGATTAAAAATTTTAAGTAGAAAATACAGTAAAGTATGAAGAGAGATAATCTGATTAATATTTTTGCATATGTAAATCTAGATCTTTTATACATATCTGCTTCAATCTGTTTTCTTTTATTAAAAAAAAGTTTTTGAATCTGTCTTAGCCTGGATTTCCTCAAAAGCAGAAAGCAGAGCTTGAGACAAAAGCTTATGTGGCTAATGTTTTATTGAGGAGCAGAATCCCAGGCTAGAGTGAAACAGGAGGAGAGCAAACTAGTGACGCATTCTGAACTGCTGCACCTTTGCATCAAACACAGCCTGTTGCGAGGGTTGGCAGACATCTGCAGAAACGTTCCATTGAACCACTGTGTCTCAGACAGCCCATGGCTAAGCATATAAAAAATGCACGTAATGGTAAAATTCAGAGTACATAACACAATCCCCTAATGCATAGTTATTAATGGTCTGTGACCCATAATACAGTGATAGTACATAGTAGGAACTCATAAATGATAGCCATCTAACAAACAGTAGCTTTATTCCCTACTCACACTTACACATCGGTCTAGAGTCATTCAATGAACATTCTCCACGTGTTTGATTTTCATTTGTCCTTGCTCATGAACTTCACACTTTCTTGAAGACCAATTAAACTTGTAACTATTAAGCATCCCTCATTTATCTTCCACTCATATTTATAGAGTATTTATTTAGTGCCAGGAGCTACTTTAAATACGTATATGCTCTATCTGATACTCATAAGATGTGTGTGCTTTGCATTATTAGCCTCAAGTTAAATAGGAGGAAGTAAAACTTTGGTGTGGTTAAATGACTCTGCAAGTTACAAACTAGAAGGTTTCAGTGTCGGGATCAACACCCAGATCTTCTGATTCTGGCTTCTCTTTCTCCCATATGAATGTCTGCCTTCCTCTGTACAGTTTTTTGTTTGTAAGAAAACTGTTTTTATTCTGATTAGAGCATGTCACAACCTTCTAACACGTAGCCACTACAGCCAAAGGTAGAATAGACTGATGGTTAATGTCAAAAGTTCTGGTTGCCTGACTGCCTTGAGTTCTGACCCTAGGTCTATTACTTGAAGACCATATGACTGTGGATAAGCTACTTAGATTCTCTGTGTTTTACTTCCTCATATATAAAATGGAAATAACAATAGTACCTAAACTACATGATTACTGTGAGAATTAAATGCTCTGTTCAGGAAATGCATAGAGCATGGGTCTATCTATACAAACATACCTGACAGAACACAGAGAGATAGTCAATGCCATGTTGCCTTTGAGGATT